AATAATAAGTAGGTTAAATAGTATATATAACATTATATATCCTGTTTATTCCCCTCTGTTTATAACTATATTAGCTAAGGAGAAAGAGGGTAGTATTATTTAGTATTATATAGGTAAAGATATAGGACTATAGTACTAAATACTTAGTAGAGGAGGTCTATAGTTTAGTGTTTATTAGCTTAAGTTAACTAAGTAGGCTATCTCTTAGCTACTTACTTTATATATAGGCTATTATAGTCTAAAATAAAATAATAATAGTATATTTTAGTGTTTATTTATACTATATAGCTAGTCTATAATAAGTATTATAGGTTATTAGTTTTAGTAGTATATCTATATCTAGTTTAAAAATTAGCTATAAAAAAATAGTTATAGTCTATAATATTAGTTTTAATTAGTGTAACTAGTATTTAGTTAACTAGTTAGGCTATTATATTACTATATAGTTTTAATTAGTTAAACTAGTCTATTAGCGTTATAGGATTATTAGTAGGGTTAAAGGACTAAAGGGTATATATTCTAATTAGTTTCTATATAGGTTAGTTTATTTATCTAAGGATAAAGAACTAACCTATAATATAGAGATAAAGTAGGGTTTTAGGATAGTAAAGACAGAGAGATCTAACTATACTTAATAATATTTAGCTTATTATAAGGTATAGTTTATAACTACTTTATTACTATATAACTAAAAGGTAATATATATAGCTTAGTTATCTAGTGTTATAAAAATCTTCTTTTTTACTATTATAACCTACTTAAATTTAGGCTACCTTAGATAATAGTGTTTCTTTATATCTATATTACTAAAGGCTTTTACTTTACTTAGATTAGTGTACTACCTATTGCTAAGTATATATAGAAATAATATATCTTATATATTCTTTATAGCCTCTATTCTATATACTTAGCTAAGTAAGACATTATATATATACTATATATTAATAAAGATATTACTAAAGTAAATAAGAAGATAATATATAAGAATAAAATTAAGAGGTAACTATAGTAGTTATTATAAAAAGTAAGTATTAGAGAGAGAAAACACTTTTCCTCCTCTAATACTAAGATATATATTATCTATTACACCTATAGAAAAAATAATTTAGACTACCTTTAGGTAATATTATATATAAAAGGTATAATAGGAGAAGTAGCTATAGTAGCTTCTAATTAGTATTAAGTCTAGTGTAGCCTACTATATATAAGAAAAAGAGTAGGACTTACTAAGTTAGAGAACTATTTAATTCTATAGTAAAACAAGTAGGTAACTTTTACCTAATATAACTACTTAGCGCTATAGGTAAATAATAAGGTTACCTCTTTAGGGTTATAAATCTTATAGGCTTAGTAAAGAAGATACTAAGGTTATTACCTTATAGTATACTTCTCCTTCTATAGCCCTTTCTTATAGTACTTTACTAGCCTACTAAATATTCTAAGGAAATAGTTATAGTAGGTTAAAAATAGTAAAACTTATCTAATCTATAGGAATCTATAGATATATATATAAATATACTAATTTTTAGGTTAATCTATAGTATATATTAGTATAAGTTTAATAACGTTAGTCTTTAATATATAAGTATATATCCTAGTAATCCCTATTACTATTAATAAAAATAGCTAAGTTTTAGGAGATAGGTCTATTCTAGTATAACTACTATAATATTAATAATTATAAGTAATAAATTATTAAAGTTATTAAGTTAACTCTTATAACTTATTACTACTAAATTATTAGTTGTTTAACTAAGGATCTACTAGTAGCTTATATAATTTATTATATAACTAGCTATCTTATAGTAATTATTTCTTTTTTCTTTATCCTTAATAGAGATTATTAGCTATACTTAAAATTCTTTACTTATTTACTAATATATTAATTAACTATAAGGCCTTACCTTAGTAAAGCTAACGCTAATTAATAGTTAGCTTAACTTTTAGCTATAGTAGGTTAACTTCCCTCTTAGCCTAAAGGTAAACAATATAATAATAAACATAGGTAATAAACATTATTAACTATTTATATACCTAGAGTAAACAAGTACTAAGAAACGCCTCTATAAAAGCCTTTATAATAATATTATATAGATTACCTTATAATAGGTTAATTACTAGTTCTATAACTAGTTAGCTTAGCTAGTAGAAGCTATATTAATCTTATTAGTAATATAAGCTTTACTGCCTACAGAGGATACACTTTACTATAAAAAACGCTTTATTAGCCTAGGGCTATTTAATTAGTAATAAGTCTTTATAACTAATTTATTATAGGCTCTTCTATAAGCTAACTTCTACTCTTATATATATACTTTTCTCTACTAACCTATAATATTAATAAGGTAGTAATATAATAATCTAATAGTTTTTTTCTCTTAATTTATTTATAACTAAGGGTAAACTAACTAGAAAAATCTATAGCACTAGTAATACTCCCTTAAATAAATATATATACCCTCTTAGTCTTCTAAGGGAAACATAGGTGTTTAATATACTATTAGCCTAAGGGAAGTAACAGTAAAGAGCACTTTAACTAAGGAAATAACACTAAGTAAGATAAGTAACTACTATAAGCTTATAAGTAAATAAGGCTTATAAGCTTTTATATAATTACTTATAAGATAAAAAAATAAAGATAATACCTTAGAAGAATATAATATACTACTAGATATAAATAAGTAGTTAGTAGTAATTAATAGTATATACTTTATTTATCTTAGCCTAGTGTAGTATATTCTCCCCTAATAATAAGGAAGAGGTTATATTAAAAATTTACTATTTACCTTTATAAGGAGGCAATAGAATCTTACGCTTAACACCTTTACTATATTTTATATTAGTAAATATAAGTATAATAACTACTTTAGGTGTAAACTACTTTATTACGCCTAGGAGGATTTCTATAAGTAGTCTACTAATAATTTTAAGATAATAGACTATAAGATCCTAAAGGAACTATATAACTACCTTGTTAGGCAAGGTATATAGGTTAACTATAATAGGTGCCTACTAGTTACCTAATATATCTATAAAGCTATCTAGTAGGAGAAATATATTTACTAGACAGATAAAATAGTTAATATAGTTAAGAGATTAATATATAGCTTTAAAATACACCTTAAAGACCTTAAATTTATAGAAGATATTATAGGTAGTAAAATAAACTTATATACTATAGAAAAAGTTAGGTTATAACTACTACTAATAACTACTTATAAAACGTTAAATAATAACCTAACCTACTGTCCTATATAGCCTTTATTAATAGTAGAACCCTAGATAGTAGTAATAGTCTAACGCCTATATATATTAATATATAAACTATAGTAAAACTTATCCTTAGTAGTAGTAGTATTAGGCCTATTAATAAAGTAGCTTATAGACCTTATAGATTTATACTTTAGTAACTAAGATATAAAATATACTAGTAGCCTATATAATACCTTTAACTTAAAATTACCTTTGTTCTATAACCTTTATAGACTAGTAGGTATTATATAAGCCTAGTATAAAGCTATAATTTAGGTAATACTATAGGGTAAAGCCTATAAGTATTACGCTATAACCTTTTATAATTAAGTATATAATTTTATTACCCTTATAGTAGATCTTAAATAATAATTTAAAGGTAATAAAGTATACTTAACTTATATTACTAAGCTTTATTATATATTATTTATATTAGTTACCTAAGATAGCTATAGTAAAAGTAAGCTTAAAATTCTTAAGCTCCTTATTAAAAAAGTAACTAAGCTAGTTAAGGTAACTATATAGAATAGACTACCTATAAATAGGGATTATTATAAATACCTTATTACTTATTACTATAGGATACCTAAATATATAATTACTGTTATTAACCTATAAGCTATATTTAATAGCCTCTATATATAGCTATAAAGTAATATTATAAATACTCTTGTTTATAATAGACTAGAGATAGATTATCCTAAGGATAAGTAAATAACAAGATACAAGAAAGGCTAAATTAGCTATAGGTAAAGTAGTAACTATAGCTACTATACTAATCTATAGTAACATAAGGTATATAATAGAATTCTAGCTTAGGTAATAGCTTAACTTGTTTACTTATTAATTATATAGATTATAGAATAAGGCTAGTTATTATAAATAAGTAAATATATAAATTAATAACATATGTTTATAATTACTATATATATTATTACCTTATGTCTATTTTTTTCTTTATCTTATAATTAATTAATAAACTAATAAAATCCTTTAGTTATATAATATATAACTACTAAAAATATTAACACTAGGTAATAATAAGGACCCTTATAGAGCAAGAGAGGAAAATTACTATACTTTAATACTTAGTGTTACTTACTCTACTATAGCCTTTTATATATTATACTTAGCGCTAGTAAAGTATATATAACGTAGGTAGCTAACTAAATTACTTAGCTATCTATTTATATTATAAAGGTGTAGCTAAATAAAGGCTCCCTATATAGAGATAAATTATACTTTTATAAAGGTAGTTAACGCTTTTTATAGCTAGTAGTCTAGTACTTATACTTAGCTTTTCTTTTATAAAAAAAAAATCTAATACTATTTTCTATTTCTTATTAAGGTTATAACCCTTATAATATAAATTTAAAAGACTACCTAAAGTAACTAGTATATATTAGTGCTATAGTACTTATTGTTTACTAATAATATATTACTACTAATATAGTAAATTAAATAGTACTTAATATATCTTAAGTTAATACTTTACTAGTTTATAGAAAATATTAATTAGTAAAAGCAAGGTATAAAGTATATATAGTCCCTAATTACTAAGCATAATGTCTTATAGTAGATCCTTCCTATTATTTCTTTACTAATTTAATATAAATATTACCTTCTGTTAAATATTATAGATTATAACCTAGGTAATATTAACTTAAAGTAATAATTTTCCCTAAGTATAAAGACTAACTATTATAACCTAGTAAATACTACTCCTAATAGCCTATAGTTATAAGAACTTAAGAGCCTATAAACTAGATATATATTATAATTATAAAAGGTAATATAACTAATAAATTAATAGAAATTTCCCTTTACTAAATAAGTTCTTAAAAAAAATTAGAATATATATAGGGATAAAATTATAAAATATAATTTTAATTTATCTACTATAATATAATCTATAAAGAAGGTTATTAAGATACTAAATTTATAACTACTTATTATAAGTAATTTCTTAGTTTTAACTTACTTAAGCCTACTAACATATAGGTTATATAGAGCTAAACTTCTTAGTAAATAGTTGCTTCTTATCTATAGCTAACACTAACTTTAAGGGATAGCGTTAGACTTATATATAAATATTATATTCTCTCTAAGTAAATTTTAATTATTAAACTTCTATAATTCTATTATAACCTATACTAATAACTATATTAAGAAAGGTTACTTTACCTAATATACTAATAGCTATATAAAGGAATATAATTAAAAACAGCTAGGGTTCTTGTAAATAGACCTAATTACTAAGACTTTTTACTTTTAATAGCCTATTATAGGTAATATTTATATAATATATTACTCCTATATTTAGATAGTAACTTTTAAACTTACTAAATATCTTATCTTCTATATCTATAATAAATAATCTAGGCTATAGGGTATACACTATATCCTATAGCTCTATTTTTGTATTTATATATAATACCTAGGTGACCTACTACGCTATAAAGATATTACGTTATCCTTTATTTTATCTTAAACCTATTTAGACTATATAATTATAAAGTAAGCTATAGAAAATAATTTATTAGTAGTAACTAATTACTTTAATTAGAACTAGATATTTTTTTTTAAGGTTTTAAAATTAACTTAGGTAATTTTTACTAATAGCTACTAGATTTTATAACTATTTCTAGTGTTATCTACAGGAGTCCTTAACGTTAGGCTTTACTTATTAGTAATTACCTAGATAGCCTATGCCTAGTTCTCTTAGAATATTACCTTTAGTTAGCTTATTATCTACTAAAGCTACCCCTCTAGATAGACCTACTATAAATATACTTACTACTAAAGCTAGGCCTCTATCTAGACACTATTATATAGCTTTACCTTTTACTTAACCTTAACTTTTAACTTTACTTATACCTTATAGTCTTTTACCTTAAAGTTAAAGAACTAGTACTACTACTAGCTAACTTAGTAAAACTACTATTACTTAGCTATTAACCTACTATTAAACTATATTAGTAGCTATATATATATAAGCCTAGCTAGTCTTATACTATACTTAGCCTATAGATTTTATATACTATTATTTATATTATCTACCTTCTTATCTTTATCTAGGCCTCTCTCCCTAGGCTACCTAAATACCTTATTTAAGTACTAGTTAGTAATAATAATAGTAATATACTACTATATACTAATATTAAGTTAGTTACCTAGTAACTAGCTACTATACTACTAGATAATCTACTATAACTAGTCTATTATTTATACTCACTTTCTTTTCTATATTTATACTACTACTTTATTATTATTATAGCTACTATCTTAGCTAGTACTACTTAGCTACTTTATCTCTTAGTCTTAGCTTCTTTTTACTTTTTATAAAATCTTATTAGCCTAGAGATATACACTATAGCCCTTTAACCTAGACACTATCCTCTACACCTTTTACTAGAATAATAGTACTAACTATAGATACTATACTAGTAGTTTACTTACCTTCTATAGTAAATACTAATAAATTACCTTAGCTTAGCCTATACTATAGAACCCCTTATAGTATACTATTATAAAGTATATTAAGCCCTTATATATAAATATATTCTAGACCTCTTTATTAACTATATTACTATACTAAATCCTTATTAGCTTTATTATTTACCTAGGTTAACTACTAAGTATATATATTAGTAGCTATAGACACTTATAGAACTACTTAAAAGTATACTTATACACTTATTTTACTATTAAGCTAAAGACTTCTCTCTTTACCTCTTCTACTTTACTACTATTAATACCTTACTACTATACTAGTTAAATAAATACTTTAATCTACCTAAACACTTAACCTTCCCTCTTCTATATCTATATATTATAGTTATCCTATATAAATAAGTACCTTAGCTACTTCTTACTATAGTTATCCTTAATTAACCTCTATAGGATTACTAGTAGTACCTCTCTTAGCCTCTCTTCTTTACTTAGCCCTTTACCTACTATTATTAGCTTAGTAAGTAGCTCCTTAGCCTCTTATACTAGACTATATATTATATCTAAAAGCTAGGCTATACTAAAGTGTGTCTACTAGAATAAGATCTTATCCTTAATCTAGTTAATATACCTAGGGATTAGTATATTATACTAGATCTTTAACCCTATTATATATATCTTTAAGATCTAGTCTATTAGTGTTAGCTTAGTGTCTAGTACACCTAATGTCTATATTATAAACCTTTATACTTTACTATATATATATTAGAATATACTAAGGACCTTGTCCTTAGCTACTTTTATTTTAATCTCTTTTACTCTCTTCTTTATACTATCCTTTCTCTTAATAGTAGACTAGTATATAATAAGTATTTAGCTTACCTTAATAATAACTAAGTAAATTATTATATAGTTTATTACCTTAACCTAACTACTATCTTTATTAATACTTATAATAATAAGTACACTAATTAAAATATTCTTATAGTTACCTTACTAGATTAAGTAGTCTAGAATACTAATAAGTATCTTAAGTACTACTTACTTTACCTTTATTAGTGTATTATCTAGTTCCTTAATATTAAGTGCCTCCTCCTTCTATATAATAGCTTTAAAGTAGTCTTATAGTTAGCTTTACTTTACTATTAGCTAATATAGTAGCTATTTATTATTAGCTATCTCCTATATATAGTACTAAATATAGAGTAGCTTTTACTAAATACTCTTATATTACTCTTATATCTAGTCTTCTAGCTAGTTATTAAATAGCCTATATAGCTTAATATATACCTTGTTTTACTATACTTTAAATAGTATAGTGTTCTTAATAGTATTAAGGCTTAATATCTTATATACCTAGTTTAAGACCTTCTCTATTACTGTCTATATAGCTTAAAGTACTTACTTTTCTTTTTTAATAGGCTTTATTATCTCCTATAGCTTACCTATTAATAGACCTTTTAAGTGCTTTAGCTACTTTATATAACTTAGCTATAATTATATATCTTATTTATTATCTATACTATAAATAATATCCTCTGTCTAAGAACTAACCTATTTAGCCTCTTCTTAGTAGATCTATATAATAACGTTATATACTAATGTCCTTATTAGCCTAGGCTAGGTGCCTTTATTTACCTTCTTTATTTAGTTAACCTAAAACTAGTAGTAGCTAGCCTATAATAAGAAAAAGCACTAGTATAAGACCTCTTTGCTCTATAGTAGATTCCTTAGCTTAGAAGCCTTTTTCCTTATATTACCCCCTTTTTTCTAGTTATTTACTTACTTATACTTATTATAGTAGTACTACTATATAACCTATAGTTAGTAGTAGATATAGTTATATATTATACACTTAAGCCTATTGTACTTTAGTAAGGTAAAATACTTAATAGGCTTAGTTATTGGTTCTAGTAGTAAAAGCACTATAATACCCTCTTAGTTATAGATAATAGCTAGGTATACCTAGATAGCCTATATAAGCTCTCTATACCTAGTAGCTAAGAGAGATTAATATCTTATATAAAGATAGGTCTTTACTTTATTAGTAATAACTATAAACTAGTATATTTTATAGATAGTAATAGAAAATATTAAGTTATAGATAAATAGTTCTATTCTAGTCTTATTTCTATACTATTATTAGTTTTTATATCCCTAAACTACCCCCTATACTATAAAAGTAAATAAATAAATATTACTATACTATAATATAGAAGATTATATTATATAAGCTAGTCTATAGTATCTTAATCTAGTCTATATATACTCCCTTATAATATTAATATTAAGACTTTTATAACTATATAGTCTTAAAATTAAAGTAGTTAAAATTAAATAACTAGGTAAAAGATAATAATAATAGTAAAAAAAATATATATAAATTAAATATAAAGTAATAAGATCTAGTCTCTAACTATATACTATACCTAGTAGCTAAGAGATATTAATCTCTATAAAGATAAGTAACTACCTTATTAGTAATAACTATAAACTAGTATATCTAGTAGATAGTAGATCTATAGTACTTTTGTTTCTATATTATAGTTAACTTTAATATTACTTAACTACTTCTCTTATATAATAGAAGTAAATAAATAAATACTACTATAGTCTAATATAGGAGACTATATTATATAAGCTAGTCTATAGTCTAAGTAGTTATATTATATAATTACCTTTAGGTAGCCTATATATACTCTCTTCTTAACTATATTAGAATATTTCCCTAGACAGAAACTCTAAAAATATAAGTATAGATATTCTTCTTAATTTATAGAGTATAGTAATATAGTTAGTCTTATCTACGCTTTCTATTTATACTATTCTTATAGGCTTTTAGTAAAAACAAGAGTATAGCTTATTAATATCTATCTAGATAATAAGCTATACCCCCTATCTTTAGTGTCTTTACTTCTTTTTTATAGAGTATTTTAACTAGCTATACTATAGCTTATTATATTTAGTAGATTAGGCTTTAAAAGATAATAAAAAAAGTACTTTATAATTAATATAATAAAAATAACTAGTAATATTATAAGTATATAGTAAATAATAATACTATAGATAGCTAGCTATATATAAAGGTAATAAGTAAGACTTATAAAGTATT